GCTTTGAAGACAGTTCAAAAATCATTTTATCACCTATTTTTTTTCCCAGCAAAGCACACATTTCTTACCATTACAAGTTCCTTCCCTCCGTCTAGAAGACTTGACCAACACTCCCAACCCCTTAAAATCTCTGCCATCTATTTTACAACTTCGGTGGCCAAACAGCTTAGAACAAGCCCAGGGACTCAGGGGGATCTGTTCGCTCCTAGGGCTGCCTCTAACACAACCGAGAATTCTAAGGGCCACTTCCTGAGGAATCGGGGAACACTTTCTCACGGAGCTCTCGGGATGGAGAAGATAACACAGCAAACGGCCTATCAAAGACAAAGCACAGCTATGGTGGCACACACCTTTAGTCCCAGCACTCGGGAGGCAGAGGCAGGCGGATCTCTGAATTCAAGGCCAGCCTGGTCTACAGAGTGAGTTCCAGGACAGCCAGAGCTACAGAAAGAAACCCTGCCTTGAAAAACAAAGACAAACAGCAGCTGGATGTGGTGTTGCACATCTGTAAGCCCAGCACTGGGGAGGTTGAGACAGGAGGATCGGGACTTATTATGGTCATTCATTCTCGGCTACAAGGCAAAGTCAAGATTACAACGGGACTCTAAACAAGAGACCAAAGTAAATATAAGTAGGTATAAAGAGATCTGAGCCCTACACAGGTAAGACCACGTCCATTATCTGATTCTGGACAACAGAAGGCTGAGGGTTCAAGTGCATGAGCTCTCAGAGTGGGCCAGCTCACCTCCAGCTTCTCCCGCTTCCCTTCTGGGAATCTTCGCAAGTGCTTTTGATGATGACTCTGCATGGATTTTCTTTCGCTTGGGAAACGCCTTCAAGATACCCTGGGGGTCCATTGAAGTGTGGTTGGATCCTTGCCATTCTGTTTAAGGATAGATGTCATGCAGAAATCCAAGATTAAGGGCCTGCAGAGACGGGCTTTGGGAGCAGGAGACCCTTCCTCAGAGGTCTCAGACACCCGAGTTAAACATCACTGGTGTAATACGAGCTCCACACACACCAGCCTTTCAGCGTTAAGAGTACTGAGTGAAGTCGGGGAAAGGCTGGGACTATGGAAGCCAGGGGTGGGATTGGCTTTTGACTCAAGGGAAACAACATTGGAAGGAGAGGGTTGCCCTGCAGGTCCAGTGCACAGTCGGCCTCTGCTTCCACTTCCAAGAGGCTTTTCCAAAATGAGAACGAGCTAGGAAACAGGCCCACATTTTTAGTGAAGTCTTCATATCCCCCAAATAGTGGAGTCTGAAGGACACGTGCACACACACCTCCTCTTTCTCTAGCCTCAATGTGCATTTGCAGAGGAAAACTTCAGGGAAAGTTGCGGGCACGCGGCGCACCTGCCCCTGTGGCAGCCTCGTGGCGGGGGATGGGGGGGGGACTGAGCCCCGTAGCTGCAGGGAAATGGGGTGCAGCCGCAGCAGGTGTAAGGTGCCCTCACAGCTGGGGGTGGGCAAGGCTGGAGCAGGTGCGCCCCATGCAGCTGGCGCGAGCCTGGGACTCCCAGCTGGGGCCAGAAGAGAGCGGGTGCTGGGACCCCAAAAGTCCTAGGAACCTCCCCAGCCGACCGGGCCCCAGAGCCGGTGACACTAGGCCAGAATCTCCCGCAAACAGAAATAAACTCACCATGGGAGCCAATGAAAACGAACCGGGCGGGAGAAGTGGGGGGGTGGGGGATTGAAAAGTAAATGCCCAGAACACCTTCCGGGTCACCCGGAAGTGACCCTCGGCCCAGCAGTTGCCATGGAAGTGGCCGGGCGCGTTGCTGGGCGGAGGGAAGATGGCGGTGACTAGCTGGCTGGAGAGTCTGCGGGCTGCCGAGAAGACGGCGCTGCTGCAGGATGGTAACTCGAGCCCTCTCCTCCTCTCCCCCAGGGCGGGCTCTGCGCGCCGGCTGCTCCGCGGAGGGCCTCAGCCTGGGCGGGCAGAGCTGGAACTGTCGCCGCCCTCAGCCACGCTAGCTTCCTGCGTTTGCAGAGGAGGAAACTGAGGCCCTGGGAGATGGCTGGAGTGGAACTCAAGTCTCAGGTCACCCACATCTAGCTTTCCTTACACCCTCCCGCCCCGCTCAGAGTTTGGTTGGTAATTCCCAATAATTCATTTTACACTCGTCGTTCCACAGGGCTGTACCAAGAGGCGAATTCTCTACCCCATTTTTTTTTTTTTTTTTTTTTTTTTTTTTTTTTTTTTTTTTTTTTTTTTTTTTTTTTTTTTATTGAAATCCAGGAAGGTTTTGACCAGCCTCAGGTTTTGCAGATTCTCAGGTACAACTGTATCATGACCTGGGACCCCATGCATCTCAGTTTGGAGGTCCTATTGATGATGGCAACCCAGTGGCACAGAATGGAGGGACACCAGGGTTTTAGATCAACTCTGCCGTTGATTTACATGTTAATTTGTTAGAACCCCGTTTTCTTCAACTATAAAATGAAGCAAGTGGGCTGCCAGTGTTGTTTCAGAGGTCCTTTCCAACTGTGTTTTGTTTAGAGTGGATTTTTAAATGTTCTCTGATCTTTAGGGGAGATAGAACAAGGGCCAAGATCTAAATGATTAGGAACAGGAGTTTGAATAACAGCTTTTCCCCATCCTGCAATTGGTCGATCCAAGTCCCCTCGAGAGGTCTTCCCTGGATCCGCTTGGCAGTCAGGGTGAAGTAGATCTGAATTCCCTTTAAAGCTTAACAGCTAGGGACTTAGATCCACAAGTAGCTGCCAGTCAAAGAAGCATGAAGTTTATGGAAGGTAAAATCAGGTTTCATTTGTTCCTAACTGCAGCGTTTAGGGAGGCCTTGACTGTGTGTCAGATTCTGTGCTAGAGCAGACAGAAACAACAACAACAACAACAAAACAAACAAAAAACCCACGGTCTGTGGTCTCCTAGGAGTTCACAGAATGATCAAGAAGAAAACATGTAAGTAAATAGCAGCTTGTGTTAAATAGGTTGGGATCTTAGCAGGTCATGCAGCCCATGCCTGTCAGCTCTGCACTGGAGAGCCAAGGCAGGAGACTCTAGCTTGCGGGGTGGGGGCGGTGTTGAGATACTGTGCGAAATGCTAAGAAAGCATACAAGTAAAAATGATTTTCTCTTTGGATAATGACCAAACAGAAGAGGTGGTATTTCCAGCCCCTACAGGATTACTGATAGGTTCTTGGTAAGTGGAGATGGAAGAATGGCCATAAGCAGATGAACCACATGTAGAGGCAAGGACGTGTGACAGTGTAAGGCTGGTTAAGTGTCAGGAAACCAGTCACCATCCAGGCACACTGTCCGTGTTGTATCAACTGTCTTGATACAGAGTAAGTAACAGTCTCTTCTCAAGAGGCTGTCAGAGGTAGAGAATGAAGAGCCGTAGAAAAGTTGGAACATGCTGTGATCTTGCGGTGTGCAGATTTGGGACATTACTTCACAGGGTAGTGGTCTTTTTGTTTGTATTTTGAGACGGGGTCTCACTATGTAGTCCTGGCTGGCCTAAAATGTCCTGTGTAGACCAGGCTGGCCTTGAAGGTACAGAGGTCCTCCTGCCTCTGCCTCCCTAGCTTTAGGATAAAGGGCATGTACCACCATGCCTGATCTGGTTTTTGTTTTTATTATGGTTTAAAAACAAAAGACATAAAGTTTACTGTTGTAACCGTTTTTCGGTGCAGTTGGGTGCCATTAATTACATTCACATTGTTGCGCAACTGTTACCACCATCCAACTCCAAAACTTTTCATTCTCAAAACCCACCCTCCGCACCCCCCAGAACTTGACCCCACACTCTCTTCTCCCCGGCCCCTAGCAACCTCCATTCTTCTTTGGGTTTCAGTTATCTTGACTAATCAAAGAGCCTCGTGTACGTGGAATCAAATAGTATTTGATTTAATTATTTCACATTGCAGAAGGTTTTCAAGGTTCATCTATGTTGTCACATATGCAGAATTTCCTTTTTATATTTTTGTGTGCTTGTGTGGAGGCCAGAGGTCAACCCTGGTGTCCTTCTTCCTCACAGTTGCCCGCAATGGTTTGTGGATTTCTTTTCTTTTTCTTTTCTTTTTTTCTTTTTAATGTTTGTATGTGTATATGTGTATACCTGCCACAGCATGTATGTGGAGATCAGAGGACAGCTTGTGGGAACTGGTACTTTGCCTCCACCATGTGAGTTCTGGGATCAGTCAGGTTGTCTGGCTTGGTAACAAGCACTTTCACCTGCTCATCCGTCTTGCTGGTCTCCATCTTGTTTGGAGACAGGGTCTCTCACTGGGACCTAGGCCTTGCCAATTAGGCTGAGCTGGCTGCTCAGCGAGCCCCAGGATCCTCCTGTCTCCTGCTCCCCAGTCATGGGGTCATATGCACATGTCACTGCCCCAGACTTCGTGTGTGAATGCTAGGGATCGAATTCAGGTCCTCATGCTTGAGAGGCCAGCTGACTGCTCCCTGCCCAGCACCAGCCTGTGCCCTAAAGCTGTCCTTCTGCGTGTGTACACTCTCCTCCGAAGTGTCCATCCATCTTCTGATGGGCACTTGGCTTGCTTCTGCCTTTTGACTGGTGTGAGTAATGCTGTTCGAACAAGAATAATATTCAAGTGCATGCTGAAGTCTGCTTTGTTGCTTTTGGTCATAGGGCAGTATTTTGGCAGGGGTGGGGGTTGGGGGTGGGGATATGGTGTATTTGTGTGTGATGCTTGCATGTAAGTGTGCAGGAGCATACACCCATGTGTTTGTACACAGAGGCCATAGCAGGACTCAGGTGTGTGAAGGGAGGCTTTCACTTCAGTCCTCTCTTGGTCCCTGCCTTACTTCAGGGTTCCTGAGCCAGAGCTCCCCCTTTTGGCCTTTGGGAACTGCCTGTCTCCGGCCCCAACGCTGAGGTTACATGCGTGTACAGCCACACCCAGCAATTTATGTAGATGCTGAGGATTCAAACTCAGTTCCCCATGCCTGCAGAGCAAATACTCTTACCTGTGAAGCATTCAGATTCTTTTTTTTTTTTTTTTTTTTTTTTG